AAATGCCATAAATCATTGCCCTGCGATATTTATGAGTGATGATCGCTTTTTTAATGATGCTTACATTTAGAGAAATATATTTGATATTTGTAATTATAATTGCATGATAAAATAATTATGACTGAGAGCTTTATTTTCATAATCATTACTACAGTAATGTTAGTTTATAATAATTAGTTCTAGAGTAAAGAAATATATAGCATCGCGAAAATGACTATAAATAACTATAAATTATAGTTAAATTATGATAATTGCAACCATTTTTTCTATCAGTATATATTTCTTGCATTAATTTGAAAATATTTATTTATTATTATATCGATTAGGAATATAATACGGAATATATTATAATACGTTGGGTGTCAAATCGCCATTTGAAAAGTTATATGATACTTTCAATCGCATATAAATAATTATTTTAAATATTTTCAAATATCTAAAGAGGTAATATTACCTCTTTATTTATTTGAAAGTATTCAACAAAAGTAATTATCAATCGAAGGCATCACGGTACTTTTCTTGGAACAAATGGCAATTTCCTATTAGTTGAGCTGACTAACTGGAATGAAACAGTGACAAGTTAAATATTATTGCCGTTACAGTTACTGTTGTTTTCGAGCGTAAACCTTGTTTATGTTCGCAGTGTCGAAACTAGAACCGGTAGCCGTTGTGTACGTATCATTACCTTATTCGAAACGCAATCGCGACAAATGTTATGTCGGTATCACATTAGTGACTGGAGATTGCGTCTGCGTTTGCGATTAGACGTTTTTCAATCACACTAGCGACGATCAGCGCGATTACATTTTATTAGATATTTTCTGCAACGCATATAGAGAAAAACTATAAAAAAGAAATTTACATTATTTTTATACTTGCAAGCATCATTAATTTCTGTTTACATTTTATATATTTCACGTTTTTTCGAGAGATTGTTTTCTATTTTCGCGTTTCGAAATACATGAACTGGTCACATGACTACGAAACCGTTTTGTGATTGGTTGCGTTTACGTCTACGATTACGAAAAATAAACCGATATCTAATCGCAATCGTCAACGTCTCTTTTCTGATTGGTCGAAAGACAATCGTAGACGCAATCTCCATTCGCTAGTGTGATACGGGCATTAGGAGAAAACGCGATTGTTCCCTACGAACAGTTAATGGTTATCGAGCAACATGCGCCGAGCAAGTTCTCCGATGAATGATTCATAGATGTCATCGAAGCGGCTTGTTATCGAAGCATTGTTTCGTGTGATTTTTTTTAATTGCTGAACACGTGAAACCGAAACCAGACAAAGCAATCGCGAATAAACAGAAATGAACAACAATTTGCTTAAAATATTCGTGCTCGTTGAAGCGAGATTCGTGTTCGTTCGCTCGATACGGATCCGGCTTGACACGCGCGCACGAGGGAGATCGCGTGCGTGCGCGCGTGTGCGCCAACTCGCATTAATGCAGCGATATCGGGGCCGTGGGAATGAGCGAGTAGCGCGAGCGAGCGTTCCGCTGGCACGAGCGGGTCACCGCGACGAGGAGGGGAGGAACGCGGCGCCCGCGCCATTCACTCCGCGGAGGACAGTAAAGGCCGACTACTATCGACCGTACTTATTCGGGAGGAAGTGGTAGCCGATTCCGCGCGACACGTGTTTTTTTTCCCTCGCTTTGAGAAATGTCAATTGAGAAAGTAGCGACGATTGTTCGTCATCGAACTACACGCTTTCATCGACGTGCAACCGGATTATTAGTTTCGCTGCCGATAGAGAGTGCTTTGCCCTCTTACAGTATCTCTTATCACTCGATCTGTATTTTATTATATCTAGATATGACACAATCTGCAAATTATATTTTGCCTCAAATATATTTTAATTAACCTAAAATAGAAATATAGAAAACTTAGAATTATTTTTTGTGTGTGTGTCAAATGAAATATTAATTATTTGTATAAAAAAAAAAACTTATTTTCGTTTATAATTGAGTCTAACGATGTTATAAATAGAAGATTTACTACACCTTTGTAAATAATAGCGAGTAGGTATTTTATGGTTACGTGACTTATCAGGAAGAGTCATATCTGTTTATTCCGGTTCTTTTTTCGATTATCTTTTCTAATAGGATTGCCAACGAGAAAGTGACACGATAAAAGAAAGTATGAAACAGATCGTTTTTCTATTTATACGGAATTGAAAACACAATTCTTTAAGTCACACCCATTAATATCAATCGAGTTTATTATTCTTGATAAAAAAAACAAATCAATTTTATTATTCTGATATTTTATTTTTTAAACAAAACAACTTAATTAAAACATCTTAATGCGATTATTTTCCTATATTTTAATTTCTACATTGCACGAAGTATTTTTCAGATATACATATATACAATTTTACAAATTTTTTTATTTTTCCACTGTAGATCGATTTTTAATTAATAAAATAAAACTTTATAATATTGATTAAAATCTCATATACATAAGCGAATTGACATTTAAGATAGCATCGTAATATGAATTCTTGTACAAATTCATGAATATCTTGAGTGCTTTTGGATGTCTTGTACGAATGCAAGTCGAGGTATTTCCATCGTGTGAATATTATTCGGCAAGGCCGATTTCGTACGAGGAAAAATTCTTGCGCGGACATTTTAATCACTGTAATTACGAAAAAGGGTTATCGAACGGTTGCGACATACTCGTTCCGACCAATTTACACGGTCCGGATAGCCGTGAGACGATCGTAAATGAGGTGAGAGAACGTGGTATGGATGGAAGAGCAGAGGGGGAGTAACTGTAACAGGATAATGAATTAATTTATTTAATCGACGCGATGTTGCGACGCCGCCGGTGAAAATAACTCACGTAATTGATACATTCCGGGCGGGCCTTCTTACGAAGTTATTTTACAATGTCGCCACGTCGTTCCTGACCTCCTTTAAGTAGATGCTAAAGAAAGCTTCTGCCCCTCCAAGCCGGGTGCAAACCTGCATCAAATACAGGGTTGTCCGAAGGGTTGCTTGCCTACAGGCTGATCTATTTATCGTAATACCAAGGGAAGATCGCAAATAACTTTTTCTTACTATAAACCACTTAATTGTTTTGTTTTTGAATTATTTAACTAATTCATCATATTTACATAAAATAAATAGAGTAAAAATTTATTTTAAAAGTTTATTATTTTAATAATTTTTAGCAGTGTTTTTATCAACTTTTAAATTAAATTTAAAAAGTCAGCATATACAGCATGTATTTTCATATTTATTATTTAATTAACGCGAATACATTAATTATATCTTTAGAGAATATTATTAATTTGTTTTATAAAAAAATAAATATTAGACAAATGTATATAAATATATAAAAAATCATGTATGTATTATTCATCGCTTTTATATATTTGAATAAATAATACGTTATAGTAACAAGCTATTATTTTTTGCAAATAATAAGCTTATTTAATTTTTTATTGCTAAATTATTATAGTGCCAGGTGATATCGTATTTCACGATTGAATGTCTTTATTAAGTAAATCAAATTCGATCAGCTCTATCGTATAATTTGCAAATTATTCACCCTTCCGATTATTCTATGTATTATACTCCAATGTATGGTTACTGATCATCGTGGTATCTTTTATTATCTTCCGAAGGGTCGAAGTTTTACCCCCATGTTCGTAGTTGAAAATCATGTGAACTTGAACACACCCTACCTACTCCTACAGTGGACATGTGTCTGTCACATATGGGTAACACGTGCACATAATATCGATCATATCTATACAGCATTTTCGGTCGAACGAACTCTATTGTTTACGTTTTTACTCTTTCTATTTCCGAATTTATTACAAAAGAAGTCCAATATCACGTATTTCTATAACTCATATGTTTAAAAAAAAAAAAACTGATTAGAACTATGTATTTTATTGATATAAAAATGAAACATATATGAGACAACAATAACTCTGTTTAATAATGAATAGTGAACAGAAATTTCTCTGTGGAATTCTTTATCATAATCGTACTTGAAAATTACAATCTTTTTAAATATACGTAAGTGCACTCACCTTGAGGAAGGTTTCCCGCCTAAAATCTCCCCTCCACGCTTGGCGTCTGTGAATGAAATAGTTTTGTCCGAGATCCTTCCGAACTTATCTTAAGTGCCTGGTCAAATCTTATGCGTCAGCCTTTGGAATTCTTAAGGCATTTTTAGATTGCTAAATTTAATATGCTTTAAAAGAAATCTCTTTGAAAGAGAAATGTTTCTAAAAATAAAAAAAAATCTTATATTTAATAAATTTAATATTCGAATTCTTGTTATTTTGTATTTTGATTTATGATTCAAGGAAACGATTTGTAAGACTGCCAGATAAATTTAAAAGTATTTTTCGTGTATCTCTTTTGCGGTAAATTTTTTTCTCTTTATGGTTCCTTTAAAAAAATATTTTTTAATTAAAAGAATGAAAAAGATTTAAGGTTCCTACGATATTCTTAAAATTATTTACTTAAGACTAAGATGAAAGGGTAGATTAATCGACATAGGATACATTATGCTTATAAGTAACATTTATTTCAAACAAACATAATGGAAGACATAGGAAAGTCAGCGATACTTGCTGACATTAAAGCCGATATCACAATCTTGAAATAAACACTCTATAAATTTGTATACATATAATAGGTACAGATATCACAAACGCGACAAATGTCGCCGCAATGTAAAAAGAAAAAAAAAATATAACGCGTCTCTTTCTCTTTGACATATCAATTTTTATCTATAAGGAATGTTCCTTTTGATCAGTCAAATGTCAATGAGCTTAAGCTACATAATATAATCTAACAATCACAGTTTCGAAATGTCTATCTATCGTCGTCGTCTCACGACTCGATTGACAGTGTCAGTCCTTCGACCTCGAGGACGCTCCCACAGGAAGAAGTTCAGCGAATCTCGAGTAAACAGCTTGGATGATTCGCCTATGAGGTAGATGCTGTCATTCTCGATGATGACACCTCACGCCACTTGCACCTCGGGAAGCTGGTACTGCGAGAAGGCGCGTTCCTTGTAGCACAAGTCTCTGTCGGCCATGCTGAGCGTTGTCCAGTAGAAGTCGCCGGCGTGGGTGTGAGCGAAATGCACCGGCACGTAGCACTGACCAGGCACAACCGGCACGACGGTCATCTGTCCGTCAAGGCAGACGGTGATGGCGGCACCCTCCTCGGCATCCCGTAGCTCTTGCAAGAGTCTGAGTTCCAGTGCCTCGTTGGCGTTGTTCTGATTCTCGATCTCCTCGCTGAAGATCTCCACCTGAGGCATGGCCTCTTGACGTTTGTTGTTTTTGACATAACTGCTGGTGCGCTTCTTCAGCATTCGCAGCAACGGCTTCAGCGGCTTCAGTATGCGTCTGCTTTTGCGGCTGTTTACGGCCTTGTCTTCTGACATCTTCAGATTGTAGAGATTATCGTTGAGCTCGTTCTCGAACACGTCGTTGAGCTCAAAGTCGAACAGCGCTTGTTCGCTCGTGATGGTGGCCATGTTTCTTGTCTCGATCCCTTTCTATCTCTCTTCTCCTTCGAACCACGGTACACTGAACCGGTTTTTTCCGAACTGTCGGAACTCGGAACACGTGGCACGAACTGTCGTTCGATAGGAACTTAGCGGGAGAACTTGAAAGCGAAGGATGGTGCTTTCGAGCAAGTCGCTTTGGAGCGAGAGGCTAGTGAGCGAATGGTACCTTAGTACGAGCAACCCCGTCCTTATATAGCCCCGTCGAGGTTGCACAGGGTGACAGAGTGGGGAAGGCAGGTGCACTCTGGCTGTGGGAACTCGGAGAATTCGGAGCTTCCCACGTCGGGGTCCACGCCGACCATCTGCCGGTCTTCTCCCTCCTCCGCCTTCGCCGCCCGATCGCTCACCACCTATCTCGAGTCCTTGTAGCACCCTGCTCGCAGGGGCCCTTTCGTGATACACATACACGTGCGCGTACACCCCCGTGATCACCCCCATTCGACCTTCTACACGGTGAATCCTTGCTTTCTTGTTCCGCGTAACTCCGATTTCTTATAGGTTTCCTAGAGGGGTCCCTTTTTCTAGGATAGAGTCTGGATTTATAAAGGGGGTTGTGTTGCTCCTTCGAAACTGGTTCGAACCTGTCGCGACACGTTCGTGCGCGTCACGCGAGCTTGCGTGAGGTGAGACGGATTTTGTCGTCGGCGCTTTACACTGAATACAGAATATCCAACTTGTTGCGTCTTGCTGTTAACATAGGAGGTAGTGTGGTTTGAGGATAAGTTGACTAGTTGTACACAACATCGGCGATAATAGAGATAATGATACGAGCGAAGAAAGCTCAATGTTTAATTACGGACTAGTCGATTGTTATATTCACGAAAACGTTTATTATATCAACTCATGTAAGGTACAATCATCAGATTGTGCATTCAATTTCGCCACGCGAAGTAGCGTGACTCGGTGCATTGCAATGTAAAAATTTTACACACTATGTGTACGATTCTTTACAGATGACGGGGTGAAAGAAAGTAGTTCTGTAGAATTTTATAGAATTTCATATATTATAATTTTACGAAATTTTATGAAATTTTATTTATATGTAATATAAATATTTTTCTGAAATATAAGTATCTTTCCAATGTAATTGGAAAAAAGTGTAATTAGAATTTAAAAAATATATCGAAATATCCACATTTATTAGAAATCATTTTATTTACTAGGTGCTTTAAGTAAAGTAATTAAGATTTTGTACAAATAATTTATTTTGTAGAAGTGTAAATGATTCCTTCACCTCAGAAAGAGTAATTTCAGCTACGATCGTTGTTGAACATTTTTAAGTCAAAGGGTTAGCGTATAGCTAGCCGGTAAGTTATAGTAATTAACGTGCGGTAATAACGTACTCCGGCTTCCTTCATTACCCCACTGTGCACGACGAGAGATTTAGAGCCGAGAAGCGTCTAGACGCCTTGTGATAGGTGCGGCAACCCCCGCTATTAAATACGCCTCCGACGGGATTTTTTGTTATCTCGGCCCCTTGTCTTCATGACACGATCACGGTACGTCCATTAGCTGTACCGTCATAAAAAAGTCTGAAAGTTTCGTGAGGTGAACTTTTTTCTACTTCACCTCGCACCCTATGAATTGCCGACTTTTTTTTTACAGGGTGAGACTTTTTTTACAACCTGTTTCATAATACGAGCATCAGGTGAATACTTTATGGATACGTTAGTACTAGATAGATAAATAGATAAATATGTACAAGTTAATAAACATGTTGTAAGGATTTTTTTATCTCAATTTCTTGCAAATAATTATACTGCAGTACAGAGAGAGGAGAGAAGAGATTTACTTGCATTGATTTAAATGTAAAATCACTGGCGGTTTAAGGGCGGTTTAGTGGTGCACCTGAACAACAGTGGAAACCTATCGAGGGTGAAAATCGAGTTGTGGAGGGTCCTGTTGAGTTGAGCAGGCATGCTGTAGCCATACGCCACAGGCAAACTTTGCTCCCTCGAAGGACAGGTACACTCGGGTATTATTTGTTTTCACTTGCATTTCGGAAATATAGTTTCAGGCAGGTGAAGCGAGCCTTTAAACTGCCGACTGCGGTGAGCCTTTACGATTTGCAAGGATTATTTTATTTTTGTGTTAGAAAATATCGCTTTCCACAAATTTAGACGTAACATAGAGACTGTAATTTATATTTATATCGAAATAAGTTAAAATTTGATATAAATATAAAAATGTTCATGCGTTATGCATATATTCAATAGTTATGCTCTTATATTCTGTTCAATTAATCTTTATGTATAATTTCCAATTTAGATTTGATCTTATCTTTGATTAAAAATTTTTATCTTTGCTTTGAAAGTTTATCGTATATTTAATTGAATGTTATTGACGTAGTAGTAGTTGTTTCACCTTCGTTTTTTAACTCGCGAACTTGACGAACTTTGATTTTTGCCTTGTTCTACATTTAACCGAAAAATCATCGACCTTTCATACAAATGACGCATTTAAAAGCGTTGTGGATCGTTAAGCATATCGATCGATTGCTTAATATATGTTTACCTATGTAGTAGCCAAGTCAATGGAGTGTATCGCATACTGAATATTACAGCAACATTAACTCGTAAAAGCGCTCAAGCCTCGCTTACTTCCGGTTCACTTACAATTAACATAGGAAATCAAACAGTATTAAACAATATATTTACTGATAATTGTCATTTACCGATCTGCTGAATCTAACGGATTCAATCGCAACAGTGACTTCAACTCGAGTATCTCTAACTCGTAGGTAGCAAGCGACTCTCTAATGAAAATTGAGGAAACGGATAATTCCACGCGTTTCCTGTTAATCGTGGATTTAAACCGGTTTGCGAGTAGACGTCCTCGGACGTTCTTGTTCTAACAGTCCCCAGAGATCGTTTATTTCATTCCTCTCGTTCTCTTCGCAATCGTTGGAAAGAAATGCTCGTTCTCGTCTCACTGGATCGGATAGATCTTACAACCGGTTCTTAATACGACCGTCAAATTTTAATTAATTCGAGACCATTCGCGCGGTGTCCTGATTTAAAGCCGCGCCCACGTGTTTTCGTGTGGACGCGCACGTCGTCTTGGAGGCGTCTCACGTGAAATTAATATTTCATGATCATTTTTCTTGTTCACTATGTGGAGACATCGATGTGGAAACGTTTCGTTGGATTTTAGCGCAACATGCATTCCCATTCGGAAATTTATACTCGATACGTTTTATTAACGTCGTTAATGACATATCATTTAACGGAACGAAAAGTCACGAGCGCGTGCAGCATGACAAATTTCGAAGATGCGTGTACATTCCTTTGAGCAGCACGTATCGCTCTGATCCCTTAATTAGCAGCATAAATTTCTTGAATGTCAATATTCAATTTTGTAATTTCGAGATTTATTTACGGTAGAACTTCGTTTATCTACACTCTATACGATACCCGAATAAATTCGCGCTTAGTTTTAAATGTATGATTCAAATATAACTCATAGCTATAGCTTTTGTTATTCGTACTATGACTATAGTTTGGATAATAAGAATTCGAATTCAATTTTCTGAACGTCAACTCTTATTATCAGATTAATAAATACTGATAGAGGAAAGGACTAGTGAGCCTCTATTATCCAAATCATTTAGTTATCGAAACTGTCCCTTGATATATTCGGAGTTTTACTTAATGTACTTGTACTGATAGGTAATTTCCGTGTCGGAAAATATAAAGATTCGAAATATCGGTTTTATTAAAACTTATTTTACTATGTAATTATACAAATATAATTACTATAAAATCCATTAAAGTATTGATAAATTATTATTTTCCAACTTTTTCTTAAACAAGGAAGCATCTTTTATCTTTGCTGCATGCATTTGAATTTATATTTATGAATTTAGTCAAAATTTGTTTGACAAAAATCTTTGCATGCTCTGTAGAAAATATTACGCAGCACTCGAAGCTAGTATTATTATATCGCTAGTATTAATATATCGCTTTCAATCTCGCAGAAACGACGCGTCATATTCATATATTTATTCCGCGCCTTCGACGAGGGTATTAGATTATGCAAATCACGTGCGAGACGAGTGTCGCGGGTCCCATCAGATAAAACGTTATTCCGAAGGTGGAACGTGCGATCCCCTTCACGTTCGGCCGTAGCAAACATTAGAGGTGAGCGATATGACACAATCTTGATTAAAATGCTACCCCTGGCAGTCTGCCACTCGATAGTATCGCTTATCGCGTCATTAACCGACGAGAAAAAGGATCCGCGAACGCCTGAATAATCAGGCTGAACGCGCATTGCGGAATGCATCTAAAAGATGGTTTAAGGAATGCACGCGTAAATTTCTTTTGTTTATTTATTACAGCATTTGCAGATATGATCCTTTTTCGATTCTACAACGTGTTATTGGACGTACACATCGGATATTGAGAAGTCGGTATTATTTTATCTGGAAACAAAGTATTTGTGAGAATAAATGTAACATAAATTACTCTTATATTTATTTTGAGTATTTATTTGTACGTATAGAAGAAATTAAAAGCAATATTAGAAACAAATACCATAACTTTGTTTTATTGGATATTGAATGAAGATAATATCAGTTGACAATTTCAAAGAAAACGTATAATGCAAAGATAATTATTCGCATAAAGAGAACAAAATAAGAAAATTGTGATTGCTAATAAAAGTCTTGATCATATTATATATAAATTTTAAGTGTAATTATCCAACTGATTTTGAAGATTATACTTAATAAGTTAGACGTTGAAATTTGCGGACAATAAATCTGTGCGATTAGATAAGACAACTGAATAGTCAAAGGAATCCATTTTCGGTCGTGTGTAGGGATCGTGATCATGGAAATGCAAATCGAGAATGCGATTCTACACGGTATTCTCATTAGCATATAATTAATACATGAGCAATGACCGGCGCGGCATTCTTTGCACTCGTGTATGAAGTCAGAATTGTACACGCATGTTGGACGATGCAGCGGGTAGACGCGAAAAAGGAGAGTCCTCATAAGAGCTTGAAGGGAAAAGGGAAGGCGAAGAAGCGAGCAGGCTAACTTAAAACAGTAGTAGTGACCCCCGGGGCTGAGCAGGCCCAAACAAGAAGTCCCTTCTGACGTCACCGGCAGGTGCAAGCAGAAGTGCATCCTCGTCTCGCTGCGCTTCTCTCGCTCTCGCTCCCTTTCTCCGCTTTCCGCCTTCCTCTGCTTCTTTTTCTGCTTCCTCCTCGCGCACTCGCGTGTAATCGTGCCGATTTCGAGATCGAGATAACTTGGCCTGTGCACGGCGCCCACCGTGAATCCGGTTGGTTTCTGTTGAAAATTTCTGACGTACGTTACTCGGCTACAGTCGCTCGCTCGCTCTCTCTTTCTCGTGGACTTTAATAAATGATTTCCTTTACGGTTCATTGAGTCGGTCGTGGATAAATTAGCGAGATGATTGCAGAGGTGAAACAAAGGATGTGCAATATTGAGATATCCCTATTTCGTAATTTTTCACAGGCACATAGATATCTGATACTATTAAATGTTTTTAAATTATACATTTTGTAGTAAAGTTAAAGAAAAAAAATATTTTATAGAAGTTTTGTGATGTCAGATTGTTTAAATTTTTAATAAAATTAACATTTTTAAGGTAAAATATTTTAACAAATTTATAGTTTAATTTTTTTATTGCGTATACGATATGGTTTAAGTAAAATTAATTTCTTAGAAGTACACATTAATTCTCCGTCGATAATGTGAAATATTTTCATCTTTTGTTTGCAACTTGGGTCTTCAACTTTTAGTACATATTTTTATATTGTGTGTGTTCTAGCCTATATAAAAATCAGAAAAAATTTTACTCGTGAAAGTTTTAACGAGTTTTTATTATCATAGAAGTTGGAATTTCCTTATTTTTTTACAGATTTAAATGATATTTACATTATTCATTTAATTATACTGTCTGATTATAAATTTTGCTAAATTTATTAATTAAATTTATCTACTAGAATTTAGAATAAAAAAAATTGATAGTGCCTTTAAAGTCCAACAATCGGCGAAGTAGAGAAAGTGTAATACATGATTACATCATTGTCTATATGTAATTTTCTAACTTTTTTTTACGTTTCTGCTGGTAATGCGATATGATTTGAACTCAAATTAGTTCGAAATCTAATGTTGTATTGCGGAGGGTAATAAAAAAAACCAGGAAACGCTTTGTGCCATCGAGATTTAAAGAGCATCCGAAAACTCGATCCTAATCTACCCTTAGTGACGGTACGTCTAATCGAAAGGCGATATGATTCCACTGATGGATTTCACTGATGGAACACCTTAAAGACGGTAATAAAATATCCTACCGAGAACATTCCATGGATTTTAATGCCCGATAACATCGTTTGTAAATGGAACGACGAAATCCGAACGAGCTGCCGCGCCATGACGGTGCCAACATAGCTGCGTCTCGCTTTATTTCTCGAGGCGAAGGTAACTGCATCCGCGGTTGATGCAGCGAGTTATCTTGATCTTAAAATCGGTACCATTACGCGTGAGCGCACGCGAGAAAAGAAAGAAGGTCGTTGATTCTCTTACGCGCATTCCTCAGGTTGATTCGTCCGCACGATACTGTGTGTAGCGATAATTATCACGTAACATTACGTTTTATCTGGTTTGATTTTGTATTTTATATCTAGCTTACTAAGTATAGTTTTCAGAACTTGAACTCACAATCAGTTCCATCGATGTAAGATTAAGTCTAATATCGATTTAATTTATTGTGAATTAGAAAACGATAAACAGTAAATCAAATCTATGTTAAAGTTAATCTTATATTGGAATCGGACTTCAGTTAGATGATTACATTTAATATTTGTATAACATAATTAAAAGTTATACGATTTTCCACTTATAACTGTCTATGATTACTCGATAGAAAAAAAATTAATGTAAAAAAAGAATAAAGAACAAGGTTACATCAAGGGCATATAAAAGAGATGATATTAAAAAAAGAGAAGACCTTATTTGTACCTGGGGCGAAAAATAGTCCAACGACTACTGTATTCGTTTTTTATTTCTCGCCTTTACGAGACTGGTAATCGTTTTCGGCAGGTAGATATCGTCTTTAGAGATCTACTTGATTGGAATTTTATCTTTCATCTTGCGTAGGGATCTCAATTTAACGCGTACAAGGAGTTTGTAAAAATATTCTGTTTTTTACACCTGAAAAATGATCCAGAAATAATTTGAAAAAAAAATCACTTATTGATTTTTATTATTTTTATTTTTAAACGCGATATCTAAATGTAAAACTTAATATAAACTTAATATGATTCATTAATACAATTTATGTGAATTAATATAATTTCAAGTATACTATTTTATGATTGTGTGTGTGTGTGTTAAATCTGTGTGTATCTAAAATTTTAAACTTAATATTTATTATTTAATGAATACAATAATAAGCGTGAGGCTATAGAAAGAGAGAAAAATATAGAGAAAATATATGATATATTTTAAAAGGAACCATAATTAATTAGGGATGTAAAATTATATAAAATTTATTATTCGATTATACTCGTTACTTCAAATGATCGGCCTTGCGGGTGCTATTTGCCACTTCATGGCGAACGGAGTGAATTTATAGTAGGCCCAGACTATTACACTTTTTACGGTGCTTATTAAATATTTTTTAGGGGGTGTCGGTCGCGGGTCGATACAAATTTCGGTTATTAAGGCGGCACCATGTGTAATCGGACCGAATTACATCTCGAATTACCAAGGGTACGCCTGGCGATTTCTAACGATCTTTTTTTATTGCTCATCAATATAATTCGTAAAGCGACGAGTCTTCGACGAAACATTTAATGATCGCGTTGAAGTTTCGCGCGCGATTATAATTTGCTACATTTTTTTCCTTCGTTTTGTATTCGACAGTCACACCGGTTGGTCGGGATGCGTTTTATCACCCATACAATAAAACGCACTGTTATTTCATGAATTAACGTTTCGCTAATTTTTGTTTGCAGGTAAAGCTACAACGCGGGACGATTGAAGTGGATTGACGAGCTCAGGTGTTGGTGAGTTCATATACACATATTGTTTATATAAGTTTTTCGTTGAACATTTTACGTGTTGTCTTTAATTTAATTTAATTTTAAACAAGTCATACCATGTTATTAACTGTGTTTTATGCGTTGCTTGTTATATTCTCTATGATATATCAATATGTTTTCAACCACAGAATTGGAAAAACTTTCTAATGTTTAACGATTATAAAAACTATGATATAAAGACAATTTGCGAATCGTCTATTTTTCGAAGTAAAAATAGAAATCTGTGCGACAGATTGCAAGATGTCGTTCAGTATTCGCTGCTTCCTTACGATCGAACGATCCATCCTTCGCGGATAAATTCTTTATGCGTCTGGACTCGCTTGTCCGTCCATCAGAAAACCACGCGGAATCCTTTGTCCCCTCGGACCGGTCCATGGAATTTTCGTGGATAGAATAAAAAGGACTGAATCATAATGCCGCGATGCGCGAGAGGACCCTTTCGATCCTATTGAAACGTTGGAGCGATATTGGGTGGGGTTAAGGGTGGCCACGGGGGTGAATGCAATATTATTCAAAATCACGAAAATCTCCGTTTGTATTTCGTTATTTTCGGGATCCATTCGGGATCGTAGATGCATATCTTACACCGTTGAATGGGCCACTGTACGGGGTAAGCATCGGCCGGTGTTTGTTCGTCATTTTTCCCCTTCGTTCCGTTCTCGCGTCACAACGGGAACCGAGAGGCAAGAGTGATCCAGGTAAAAAGGGTCAAACGCACGCACAAAGGGCGCTCTCGCCCTCGCGACCGGGCACATGTGCGTGCAGCACGCAATCATAAAAGCGACACTTCGATCTTGCGCCGAGAACGAATCGAACTTATTGAAAGGGAATTCAAGACGATTCAAGGGTTGATTCGTCGTCGTCATCGTCGTCGCCGTCGTCTCGTTTCTCACCGGGGAAACCTGTCGCGCGCACCATCGACTGCACGATGCGCATATGCAACACGATTTCCGCAGCTGCCCTTTTTCTACATTTTCACCAAGCACACCAGGTGCGTGAAATTACCAATATTAAATTTTTGTCGGAAACAGAAAGATTAATCCATAAATAATAACTCAGTGTTTTTATTATTGCACTTGTTGCTGACATGCCGAATTTTGACTCACAATCAGAGATCTTTTATCCCGCGACTCAACCCTTTCACAGGTGTATCCTGTCGGGAGGAAAACCCTTTTCCGTATTGTTCGCGAGTTTCCGCTAATCCTTTCGGTGCTTTGCAGGTAAAAGGGTTGACATTCTAAGTTAACGGATCGAAGGGTTAACCAGAAAATGCTTAACGGTGCAGTAGAACGAAATTATTTGCGGTGAACTATTCGATGTGGTGCAATGTGCAGTACCTTTTATTGATGTAATGCAATTTTTTCAAGTTTTCTTAAATTTTTCGTTATATCAAGTATTAAAAAAATTCTTTATGATATTATTAAAAGCATACAGATTTATATTTATCAAGTTAATATACGTATATGTATGTATATAGAGTAAGGTGATATAATTTTGAATATGGTACAGTTCTGAACGAAATGAGATTTGAATCTAGTTATCGAAGTTTAACTTTGACTTCTCTTGGTTGCTATCTTGGCTGCTGCTTTCCACACAATGAGAGGATTACCAAACTTGAAACTCGAAAATTGGATTTAAATTTGATTTTATACCAAATTGTAACATATCTCCATACTATATGTGAATGTCATGGAATTCTTAAAAATATAAATCTATATGTATGCTTTTAAAAATATCGTAAAGTTTAAATTAGAATTTTTTTTAAATATAATAAAATAGTCAAGAAAACTTGAAAAAATTTGAAATAAATTTTGAATATTGTCGCCCTATTTTTATCAATAAACTTCAGTAATTTTTTACCATTTGGGAAACATTTAAAATATTCTATTTTTCTGAAAGTATATGTATTTAAATTGTTAAAAATTCTTTGAGATATCGTATACTTATTAAATCGTTACTATGAAATTATTTGTATCAATAAACTTAAATAAGAAGTTTGAATGCTGATTGTATTGCGCTTTTAATTGCTTTCGATCTGTCTTTGAATATATAATTTACATTTTGAAAACAATTACATTAGTAAAAAATAAAAAAATAATTTCTTAAGAATGACGAAAGGATGATGCAATTTTAGAAAATATAAAACGAGATTTACTCGAATAAGAACTCGAAGAAAAGACTTTTTCTGAAGTAGATCCTTGCAAGTTTGAACAGATCGGTTTCGCCATTTTGCTCAAAGGCAGAATGATATCTGCTCAAGAAGAAAAGATTGCTTTTTGTGTAACGCGTTACGTAAACTCGAAATGCTTGCGGCAGATTCCTTGCATCGATCCGGTGCAGGTTCGAACCTGCACAGGGCATTCAGGGCACTCGCTTTGATCAAGTTTCTTCACGTGCCAGCGGCAAACGAGACGTGTTCGAACTTGCGCGATCTTCTGCACAGATCAGTATATGGGCCTCGTTTCTCGCGGTAAAGGAGGACGATCCTGCCGGATGCGAGACCTGCCGCGACGCTTGAAAAGCGAATCTAACGTGGGTGAGTGCATTCTCGGGAGGTTGCGTTGTAAGAAAGTCTTTTTAAAAGGACGCATTCTAACTCTCTCGTATGATGCCCCGACACGTATTTTTCAATAGCGAATTTCATCATCTTAGATACACCATAGAAAAGGAAAAGGATTCGTATGCGGACAACTGTATCTGCGACGCATAAATTTTGCGTCGGAATATTCTTAAAATGTTTACTGGTTGCTTCGATATATAATGCTAAACGGTCGATGTAAATCTTTTTTAACATATTCCTTAGACTTAACAAAAGAAAAACGTTTTTAAAGATTGAATTTTTCTCGCATTATTTTTTATTATATATTATTACTTTTTTTACTTATATAAAATAATTTAAAACATTTTAATTCTTTTAATTATAAGAATTATTACCCCATACACAATAATGAAGTCATGTCACATTTTTTGAGAAGATTCTTTGGATCCAAAATCTTGAAAATTCAACCCCCTCGATATATTTAATTTCGACAAAGACATCAATACGTTTATGATGAATTTAATAGGCTCCAAGATCAACACGAAAATCCTAATATCAATATCAAACATTACTCAGTACACCAAATTCGAGAGTCTCGACAAACTTGTTGGAGGACTGTGCGAAGATATTCCTTCCTTCGATATCATCGACCCTTCGGATCCAAAATCTTTCAAAGTCTTGCGCGTTGAGCTTGGAAAGATCCGTTTCCATTTACGAATCACCATTATGTCCCTAAATAAACAGCTGTTCCTCGCAAGTCCTGCACCTATGTAAACACAAGATTCTGACGAAACTGCCGCATGCTCGATCGATATGTATGATTCGCCCGACCAGGGGATGAAAGAGAAAAAAATCTCAAGCGGAGGGGGAGTTTTGAAAGAGTATCGGAAGGAGAGGGTCACATTGAAGATCGCAGGACCATGAATCTGCCTCCAAGGCACGGATCCATTCTTAAAGGATTATCATTATAAATTATATATTTTCCTTCTTCCCTTTCTGTGCCGCCCTCCTACTCTGCCACCGAATGACCGGTAGCAGCTTAAGGATTTCTATCACTGGATTAACGTGGACCGTGTCATCGTGGTATCCTGTCTATTCGATTCGTCTTCCTTCGAAAGAAGAAATGCTCACGAATTCCTTTTTATTTCGCGTTTTACAATCTAAATTTTTTAAACTTTCTATATTCCGTTCACACACGAGTAACATTTGATCTAGTATGTGCGTTTTATTTTTGTGGATGTAGTGATATTGTAAACTCAGTTTTTGGACATGGCCGGAGACACTACCGCGTCTTTTGAAATACCTATAGTATTTGTGTGCGCCATTTGCAAAATGTAGAAAGTTCCGATGGACAGTTGAGATTCTAAATCAAATGCATATGAAACAGGATATAATGAAAATTGTTTTTTAATTTTTTTTTAGAAGATTAATATTACGTTACTAATAAATACAATAGTGATTTTAGTTTAAAATTGCTCTCTCTCTCTCTCTCTCTCTCTCTCTCTCTCTCTCTCTCTCAATTTTATTGACTTATAATTAAGTATAGAAATTACAATAGATATTTTATGTTGTAACTTAAAATGATTTTTTCTGAAAAACAAAAAAATCTGAACAATTATAATTATTATAATTTATTAATTTCTCGTTCAATAAAAATTAATTATAGAAATACGCGCGCATTCCGATTCTGCGCTTAATTTCGTCTTGTGCGATTTATTACGAGTCAGTGTCTATTAAATATTGGCGCTTCACAAACGCTCAATGCCGATTCATTCGTTGATACGATGACGTTTTTCTGGGTTGCCACGCCGTCTGGCCTCGCCCCGAACCGCCAATGTATGATAACAATTATTCGAAAATGCTCGTTCGAATGTCAGAGGCGACAATGACTTTTCGCGACGATGAGATGACGATCATCACCGACGGCGTCCCCTTCGTCTTTATGCCTCCCAAATCTTTTTTACTTACACGTGGAGGAGCAGTTTGATGGGTCTCTTTGGTTGGGGCCCGATCCTTTTCTCGTGTGCGAAGGGTCCTGTGGGCGGAGCGGTTGGCCGAGAAAGGACCTCATTCGAGTCCGGCGGCGAGGATTCTCTAGGATTCTGACCAGCGGGATAAGGAACGAGCTTTCAAAGGGGCTGAAATTGAACACGTGCAAGGGTGAGTCAGAGCAGTAGAAGGAGAAAAGCGAAAAGAAAAAGAAAGAGAGAAGCAGGCCTGGGCCCTTCGAAGATTTCTGCGTCAGATAACGTTATTCTCTCGCAGGGCTGCAGTTTTATCTTTTCTATAAACTCATATGACCATCATAATTATCTGAATGAAATTCCTTGTCCAAAGTGTTATTTATTTTAGTATTTAATTTATTAACATAATAATAAGTCATTTTATTTTTTAAATAATACAAAAATATATGAATATTAGAGAC